CTGATAAATGGTCTGATTTCAATATAACTTGGCACACAAGTAGACTACACTAAGATACATACGTCTGTATATCGGTTTTTGATTTCGATGAACGGTGTTGCCGTGGATACTAAAAATAGAAATTTCTGTGATTTTTTTTTTCAAAATGCTACTCCAAATACAGTTTTAGTCTGATTATAATATAATGTGGCATGCAAGTAGACTACACTAAGAACATAAAGAGACTTAATCAAGGATCATTATTCTATTTATTGCTGTTGAATAGTTTTTAAGTACTTTTCTCTTCCTTTGCTATAATTACAAACCAGTAGAGCTTCAGTCTTGACAGAGACTTCTGGTTTGTTGCGTGATACGTATCGTGATACGGAGACCTAAATACCGGTATTTAGGTACATATTATAAAGTCCAGAAATTATTCATTAATTTGTTTAATCTTTCAAATTACAATTATAGAGAGTCTAAAAAATGTTGTAAAAGGTGAAAAGAACGACACTTTACCATCCAAACATGATTTATGTTAGGTACATAAAAATTTCAAAAAGTGAAAATTTGTTTTTCTAGCATATTTCTAAGAAAAAATAATGACAATTTATCAAAAATCATTGTAGAAAGTGATTGTAAAAATATCATGATATTATTGTGATATTAAGGGAAAAAATCGTGATATATCGCGATACCCATCCCTATCGGTTTTTGAAACAGTAAAAGTAAGTCAATCATTAACATTTTGTTCACCCAGACTCAGAGCTGTATTAATAATTGATCAAGTGTAGGTAAATTGTAACCAGGAAAAGTAGAAAAAGCAGGATTGTTTAGAATTGTTTTGTAACTGTCATCAATTTTTTTTTGCTGATATGAAAAATTGGAACCTCTATGCACTGGTCCCACTTTTGATTCAATGGTCTCAATGGAATTAATTTTAGAGGAAGTGGCAGTATGGTTTTAAATTGAGCATCTATGATGGATAAAAAAAATAGTACATGCGAGTACATGCATACATGCACAATTGCTGTTATTTTTGTTTGTTTGGTGTCTCTCTTTATACAATCCAAAAGTCAAATAAGTTTTTTCTGATTAAAGGGAGTCTGTCATCTGTTTATTTTAATTGAATTACCCCATTCTCCATATACATGAATATGTAATGGGTAAATGATTTGGAAACAATGAACATTTCGGCATCATAACCTTTTCTACTAAAAAAGACACCACTTTTATAGCCATAAGAGGCAAAATCTTCCTTATATAGTGTAGATCCAAATGTAGATATAGTATAGATCCAAATTTGTTCAAAGGCTTGTTATTTTCAAAAAAGTTGTAATTAATGAGCTTTTTCAACCAAAAAGAGTCGCCCGCTTGGGGCATCTGCTCTAGAGTCGCAAAGTAAGGAGTTGATGAGTGAAAAATTCTTAAAAGGGAAGTTAAACATTATACTGGTACAATGACTATACAATCAATCATCCAAAAACACAACAAGAGGCCCATGGGCCACATCGCTCACCTGAGAAGCTTTGGCCATTCTGTTCTTTACCAGATTTTCCCCTTGTTAGGTCACCTGAGTAAACTCAGGTGACCTATTGCTATCTGTTTTCGTCCGTCAGCGTCCGTCGTCCGTCGTGCGTTAACATTTGAACATTTTCAGCAGCTTCTCTGCAACCAATTTTGGCACAAAGCATCTTTTGGTAAAGGGGGAACAAAAATTGTGAATTTCATGGTCCCTGCCCCCCTGGGGCCTTAGGGGTGGGGCCAAAACCACTTAAATTAATGCAATCTTTAAAAATCTTCTTCTTTACTCCTGGGCATCAAGCAGTCAAACTGTTTGCATGATTGTAATCAGCAATGATTCCTCTACCAAAATTGTGAAATTCATGGCCCTGGGGTCAGGGGTTATAGTTCTAGGGCGGGGCTAAATAAGTAGGTAGTGAAAATGCATTATTTCTTTGAAAATCTTCTTCTCTGCTCCTGGGTATTAAATAAACCAACTAAGTACATAGTTATGATAAGCAAGAGTGCCACTACCAAAATTATGAATTTTATGGCCCCAGGGTCAGGGGTTCTGGTGTTAGGGCGGAGCTCTATTGATTATATAGTTAAAATACATGAATTATTTGAAAATCTTTAAGTACATAGTTATGATGAGCAAGAGTGGCTCTACCAAAATTGTGAATTTTATGGCCCCAGGGTCAGAGGTTCTTGTTTTAGGGTGGGGCTCTAATGATGATATAGTGAAATGCATGAATTCTTTGAACATCTTATCATTTGCTCCTGGTTAATATACTAATGATCTAATTACATATTTAAGGCCAGGATTTATTTTATTTTCAGTTTAACAAACCCTCCGCTCAAGGTTTTGAATTTTCAGGAAAAAATAAAACAATTTTTCTTTCCGATGTCAAATTTGAGTCAGGATCGGGATTTCAAATTTACGAACTCGCACTTCCGGTTTTAAGATGAAACGGCGGGTTAATAAAGCTAGATTGGTTTAGTGTAAAATTCATCGATACGAGTGGCATTCAAAACGTTTCACCCGTTCAAAGGACAAATAAAATGCTGGCGACTTGGTTGCACAATGGCATGCTGGTGAGATAATTATGTATTCGTTTCAAAAGTATCTGTCTGTAAATTATTTTCCTCCCCCAGGTTTTAAACTGCCCGTGGTCAGGTGGTAGCTATTGCATATTGCTTGCGACATTGTTTAGGTCTCTGTTATAGCTTACAGTTTAAGCATCATTCATCAGAAAAGGGTTGCTTATGCATCAGATGTAATGAATAAAACTATGGGAGAAGTTAAGTTCATTTGAGGAAGAAATAAACAATAACCTGAAGAAAGAAAAAAAAAATCAACTATTAAAAGGCAAGAATATACAAATATATACAGGCATGTAGTATCATCTGTATCAGCCTGAAAAATTATTTTACACTTAATTGAAATAAATGTTCACCCTATTCCCCAATACTCTCTGTCTGTTTTATGATAGGCATCAAGTAAATTTTAGAACAATGTCAACACATTCAACTAACACATATTCAAAAAATGAAGATATATTGAAAGACGTTTAAAGAAAGGTTGAACAGGTAATGGACACTTGTCCAATTCTTCTTGGCTTTCTTGAATTGCTTCATCAGAATGAACATTTTCGGAATCTCAGACACCTGACATCGTACTACGGACAGCGGACTGCAAACAACAGACGACTTTCGAGGAGCGTATAGAAATACGTTTTAAAGCATGTTTATCGTATAGATAATTTATTCTCGTGATACGATTTTACACTACTAGACTTGTCTTCAAGGAAAGAGGCGACACATTCCATGCAATGTATTTGTTGTTATAACTCGTGCAAATGAAAACGAAATTTTATCATCCAGTTCAATGATATGTATACGTAACATTCTAATTACTTTTTTGACATGCTCCCTAAAATGAAAAGTCCGCAGTCCGCTGTAAGTTGTCAGGTGTCCGAGATTCTGAAAATGTTCAGTACCACCAAACAGGTAATGGACATCTGTCCAAATCCTCTTGGATATCTACATCCCACCCAACAGGTAATGAATAATTGTCCAATTCTTCTTGGGTTTCTTGAATTGTTTCATAAGAATACCAACCAAAGGTCATGACATCTGTCCAACTCCTCTTGGATATCTACATTCACTTGTCGAATTCTTGGGTTTCTTGAATTTCATCATCAAAATACAAACCAACAGGTAATGGATATCTATCAAACTCCTCTAGGATATCTACATTGCACCCAACAGGCAATGGACACTTATCTAATTCTTGGGTTTCTTGAATTGCATCATCAAAATACAACCCAATAGGTAATGGACACCTGTCCAATTCCTCTTGGATATCTACATCCCACCCAACAGGTAATGGACACTTGTCCAATTCTTCTTGGGTTTCTTGAATTGTTTCATCAGAATACCACCCAACAGATAATGGACAACTGTCCAATTCCTCTTGGAAATATACATCCCACCCAACAGGTAATGGACACTTGTCCAATTCTTCTTGAGTTTCTTGAATTGCTTCATCAGAATACAACGCAAAAGGTAATGGATACCTGTCCAACTCCTCTTGGATATCTACATCCCACCCAACAGGTAATGGACACTTGTCTAATTCTTCTTGGGATTCTTGAATTGCTTCATCAGAATACAACCTAACAGATATTGGACACTTGTCCAATTCTTCTTGGGTTTCTTGAATTGCTTCATCAGAATACAACCTAAGAGGTAATGGATACCTGTCCAACTCCTCTTGGTTATCTACATCCCACCCAACAGGTAATGGACACTTGTCTAATTCTACTAGGGTTTTTTGAATTGCTTCATCAGAATACCACCCAACAGGTATTGGACACAATTCTTCTTGGGTTTCTTAAGAATCTCATCAATATACTACCCAACATGTGATGGATACTATACCTGTCCAATTCCTCTTGGATATCTTCATCCCTTCAATAGTATTTAAACTAAAAGGTATTGGACATTCTTCTTTGATTACTCAAAAAAAATTTCATAAGAAAAAAAAACCAATAGGTATTGGACATTGGTTCAACTCCTCTTGGATATTACATCCAAACATTAGAATAAAACCCAACAGGTAATGTTTATTTGTCCAATTCTTCTTGGGTTACTTATACCCTTCATTAAAATTGTCAAATTAGTCTTGGATATTTATACTCTTGCATTAGATTGCAAACCCAATAAGCATGACATTTACCTTCCCTAGCTGAATTCAAATTTATCTGCTTAAGCATACATAAGTCCAAAGCATATTTAATACTTTAATTATAACATTCCACATTCAGTGTACACTTTACAAATGATAGGAAATATATAAGCATTTTGTGTCTTAACTATTTGGATTTTAAAGAATTTTATAACCATGTTTGCAAAATTTAAATATTGGAACTTGGAGCAAGTCACGATTTGACCGTGTTATGTCTTGCCCATGCGCAAAGGAAAGACTGGAGTGAAAATGAAAGTAGATACAAAAGCACATGTGTAAACACAGGGGAGCAATTATTATAACTGTTCACGAATAAAGGTGACAATAGATAAGTACAATTGTTGGCGAACTGTAAAATTAAATCGTTTTATATTGCTTTAGAGTGTCAGCAGTATGAACATCGATATTTCGGACAATGCCAGTTATTGTGACGATGAAGAAACCGAACACCTGGAGCACAACATCATGAACATGTAAGTACTAACTAGAATGCAAAAAATTAAAAGTATCAAAGCATCTGTGCACTGCTAATCTTCAAGCAAGTAATATTCATTTATCTTTTCTGATTAACTCATTTATTTCCTTTAATGCAAGTGAGATAGGTGCATTGCATACTTGACCAGCTGCATATGATAATATTTACACATGCTGTATTTGCATTCAGTTATGGCTCAACCCAATCTATTTTACCATTGTCACAAAATTATTTTTGGGATTTGTTTGTCATTTTTTTTATAATTGAAGAAATCAGAATAATTAATTATTTGATTTGTCTTATATAAATATTGCAGTAATATCAAGCTGTCATTATCTTTTAAACACACAGGATACTAATCAAATAAATGAAATCATGAACGAGATGCAATATTTGGATCTTCTGGTCATAAGGAAGATGACAATGGTGAAAGTGATGAAGAAGAGGCGGCCAGCTGGGGGCGATGAATGTAAGATGTGGAAAGATATATCAAGGTTTGTGAATGGCACACGCTGATTGATTGATTTAATGATTGATTGATTGTATATTTTTTAACGTCCGTCTCGAAAATTTTCACTCATATGGAGATGCCACCACTTGCTGGTGGAGAGTTGCAAATTTTGTTCTAGGTCTATTGAGCAGGGAGGGATCTTTTTCATGCAGCACCTACTGCGATACAGGTCCTCAGTTTATACGGTCTCATCCAAAGGACCGGTATCCATGTCCTACAGTGGGATTCCAACCCGCCACGTTAGGATTGACTCCTTAGTTCACAACTCAAGAGCAGATGATCTAACCACTTCGCTAAGTGGCCGACACACTGTAATGAAGAAATAGTAACAGATTGAGTAGTTTTTATAACTATAAATCAGCATCTGCTGTAAATAGAGTAAAAAAAAAGGTAGGAAAGATATGTTCCATTCATTTTTACCTCACAATAAAAATCATATAAAATGATGGTATAGAATGTCACTAACATTATGACTCTATTTCCATTTCTATTTGTTTCCTCTGTGATATTTCTTTGAGAGTTATGTGAGTTGATTTCTTGATAATTCTACTGGAATGAAAATTTCGCTAAGTTAAAGATCAGCAGCTAAGAAGGCCTCATTTGTGTGTAACCTCAGTGGACAGGGACTTCTGAAATTGAGAAAGAGGATCCATGTGATTTAAATCTATTAGTCTAGACCACATTGTATGCAATTATATGCACATTTCTAATATTGTTGATGTTCTGGCATACCCAACAAGCTAAAAAGTGATTCCCTAAATTTATGTTATTACTACATTAGTATGCAATTTACTTCACAGTGGTATAATTTCAAAATTTTACTGTCTTTTGATATGATTAAAATGTCTCAAACTCTAAGGAACTGGATGCAGTGATTTGTTACCCTTAAATATTCATGTAAATTACTGTGGGTTTTTTTGTTTGTCTTGATTTATAAATTGCTACTGTAGCATGTAACATGAAAGATTTAAAACTTAAACAATTTGAATATTTTCTCTTGTATATTTTCTTTCAAGGAATACTGATGAATGTGACAAGATGGAGGTGGATACCCTTTCAGATAGATGATTTATTGTTGGAGAGAGGGAAATATTGGACCTGCTTAAAAGGAGCATGTTTCAAAGAGTGAGGTGGACCAATACTTCGCTCTTCGTTGTTGAGGCAGAGAAAATAGCTGCAGGAGTAAAGAATTAATTTACCTGCACAGTACATCTGTAAGTAAATGTATTGCATACCAGTTTGAAGCTTATTTCTAAAGTTTAACATGTTTGATAATGAAAAGAACATTCAGAGTAAGATGTTTTGAGGATAACTTCAATCCTACATTTCATTAACAAATTCATTGCATTGCTGTAATGAAGTAAATTACTTTAAAGAAATGATTAATAGGTAATTATAATTAGAAACCATCAAAATTATAAGGAGACAGAATGAAAATAAATTTATCAAAAATGTCCTTTAGAGTCTTTGAAAAAAAAAGAAATTTTAAGCCTTACAAAGAGAGAAGCATAATTAAATATAAGAAATAATAAAAAAAATATAAATATACAGTTTTTCATGTATTACTTAACAGAATTTTACATTTACCATTTCATTTGTATTGCAGGAGGGTCATGTAGGAAAATGGATGTCTACACAATTTTATTGAGAGAGAAATGCTGTTGCAATCCTGCTGCAACTTCTGATCCTTCATTTTGAGGTATCATGGGATCAGTTTACTGTTGGTGCCACATTTATTGATCTTGCATAAGGATCAGCAAGATAATTCTACAGAATACAACTTCAGTACAGTGTATGTTTTACCAGTAATGCTTGTCATGAATAGATTTCTCTACATATTTAAGAAAAGGAAATTTCTCATTATTGCAATATTTTCTGCATTAATTTTTTATAAAAGTTTGTCTTCATATTGGGCATATTATATTTGGAAAAAATTTTATTCAGAAGCAAGAATAAAGTTTTCAAGTCTCATGTAAAGTCAATGCAGTGATATGAATATAAATCAAGGACAAAATAAAAAAACAGTAATTTCATGCATTTTATATGGTATTACACGACTGTGCAATTTTAGGAATTAGGTTGCTGTGCAGCAGGTTTACCAACAGTAACAGAGAAACAGAAAACCAAGCAGTGGTTTGTGTATAAAAAGAAGTCAATTAAAGAATACATATATATTGCAGGTATTAAATTTTATGCAATATACATTTTAATTATTTTGAGTTATTTCAATTAAGTAACCTCTTTAATGTTTAGAAACTTTAATAAATTATTTATAGATATATATATGCACATATTTTTTTTTTCTAAGGGTGTAAATTTATATCATTTGCTTTAAATTCAATTTTACTGATCACTTGTACTTCTATAACTTTATTTGATATTTTTTTTTGTTCATGAAGGTATTAAAGGAAATTTTCTAAATTTACTTTTAGAACTTGAAGGAAGTATAATGGAGTCCTTATGCATGTAATTCAAGGAGTAAGAATTCCAAAGACCATGACAGCACCTCTGCCAATTTATCGATCCTCCTAAATCCTGGATCAAGGCTTTTACTTTCATAAATGAATAGAAGAAAAAGGTGTGGTAAGTTTTATATAACTAATGTTTTTTTGAGAGTCAGAATTAGTTGAATGATAGATAACGTCTATATGCTCCATCTAGTTTAGGTAAACCTCCTCCTAACTGCCACTTTCACACAAGAAGGCACTGGAACTCTCCTTCCTGCTTCAAGAGGACCATGCTGCCACAAAACAAAATCACATTTTCCTGGTTCCTTAAGGCAGAGGGTGCAATCAGGGGTTCAAGATTATTATGAAAATTCTTGTTCAGAATGATGAACCGCATGCCACAAACACATATTTCTAAACTCTGTTTTTTGGGGTAATGCATGGAGATTGATTGATTGTATACTGTTTAACGTCACTCTCAAGAATGTTTCACTGATATAGAGACGTATGCATGGAGATTGACAACAGCATATATAGGATGCCAGGATCTTAAAATACTTTTCATTCTCCATACAAACACCATGCGATTTCTGAAGTGGAGTTTTCATACTGTAATGAACCTTGGATATAAGACATAATGAAATCTGTTTCTGCCTCAATAGCTTTGTTCAAAACTTTATGCTTTTCATCCACTTGTGTAAAAATATCCTACAAGTATAGTAATAAAAATATTTACTAGAATGAAAAAAAAGAAATGTATGAGATAAAAAGTTATTAAATTTTTTAATACTTTAAAATGAAAATTATTTTGTTGTAGTTTTAATTCTTTAACCGTTGAAAAAAAAAGTTCATTGAAGCAGCATTAAAGCTTGATAAAATAATTTATTTTCAGTACAGTACAGTACATACAATGTACTTGCAATGTTGAATCCAACTGACTACCCTCTCTGTGTTCAGCTGCTGCCTCTAGAAAATGATTTCTGCTTGGAAGTGTCCCCTGGTTACATTGATTGTGCTCTGGCTAGCATAAGGATGGTAATGAGCTGACAACAGTAATTGTGAGATCTCCGAAATACATGTATACCAATTCTGATGTAGGAGGACCTTATCATAGAGGAAGGGTGAACATCATAACATTACCAGATAGCCAACCTATGTGTAGGATAATAATCCATCATACTTCCTGCGTACTTGTGTTTTATTTGAATGGACAGCAAGGATTTTGGCAATTGGTAATGTACAACCTCTTCTTTTGCAATGCAGTAAGGTTTAACATTTGCCTTTTTTCACAGGGAAAGTACCAGTAAATGTTAAATTTCATAATACATGTGCTTTATTTCTCCTAGGATCTTTTTACTTTTAAAATTTATCTATAGTACTTTTATTTTCATATATTACATTTTTAATAACTTTCAATTTGTCAACACCATTGAAATATATATGAATATATGTATTCCTTGTTTAAAATTTTGGTAACCTATGAAAAATCTTATATTTTCAATGGTTTGGAACTATTTATACATGTATATGTATATGAAATCAATTTGTAAACAAATGTGCATGAAACTTTATTTTGTCTCTGTTTTCATCTTTTGGAATTGAATTGTAAATTTTTATGAACTGACAGTATCACAATTTTATTAATTTTAGTGGACAATTTTCAATTTTTGTCAGTTACATGTACCTAATATTTTAATAATAATCAATTTACAATTTATATGGAATTGTTTATGTACCGATAAAAAAAGTTGCTATAAAATATTGTGAGCATCATTTATGACTGAGAATATTTTTCATTGCCAAACAAGACACTTTGTTTGATTCTTTGATACTTTTCTACTTTTGTAAAAAAGATAAAGAGAAAAGAAAAGAATGAATAAAATACATTTTATTCATTAACTTGTTTTTTAATTACTGGAATAAAACTATATTCTAACATTCAGGAAAAATTCCTATGAAGACTTGACTCATCAAAGATCTTTAGGAGCAGCGTTAATTGCACATATAAATTTCCAAACTACCTACTGAATATGTGCAAATAATTACTTTTCCTTTCAAAATGGTAATTCTTCCTAAACAGTCATAACTTCTATGAATGAGGCATATGTGTGATAAAAAATTTAAAACATGTTATCATTTTTTTTTGTTCTTGGCACACCTATACATTCCAGAGTAGAAAAAAGAAAGGAATCGTTATAGTATCAAAATTATTAATTGAAAAAATATTAAACCTTTGTAAAATCATTTAAATGGCTGCATTTTTAGCCATCATTGAGAATGTATACCTCTCTACCCCCCCCCCCCCTTTCAGGTCTACAGGCCTAACCCCTTTATGTTTTAACTGTTCATATGCAATCCAGGAATATGTTTTTTTTTTAATATGGTGAATTATACCTTGTTTCCTTGTGAAGTTTATTAACAAGTACGTTTTTCATGCAAATATTGGATTTCTTCTTTCATTTTACAAATAATCACTGCTCCCCGATCAATGCTTTGAAACGCTTGACTGTAAACACACGTTTCATTGACCTAAAGTTTGCATGCATGACCATGCGGTGTCGGTAACTTTCGGAAGTGAGCACTCTTATTTGTTGTGCTTGTGTGTTTTGTGCATATATTTACTGCAACTCTCATATTGGATGCTATAACGATGTGTTCTGGTCTTTTTGCAACTTTACCTATTGCAAAATTCGCGATAGGTTTGTTACCGCTATTTACAGTCACCGGCACTTCGAGGTACACGGTGTACTTGGTCATTGGACAAATGCATTCGACGCGTAACGAAGATTTGGGTGTATACATAGTTAGAAAGTAACAATAGAACACGAACTAATATGGCGTCTATCGATGAAATATGGTGGCTATTTGTTTACACTTTCGGCTATTTTATGATGTCAGTAGAGCTTTAAATTACCATCAACCTGATGATGCCTTCATTCTTAAAATGGATTTGCTATTTTCCCCTATTTATTCATTTGCGATGTATTCATTCCTATGTAAAGCTATAATCGGCCATTGTGGCCACGCCATACCCCCAGGAGTCATGATTGGAACAAGCTTGAAACTACCAGTACACTACCTGAGGATGTTTTACATAAGTTTCATCTTTCCCGGCCCAGTGGATCTAGAGAAAAAGATTTTTTTTTAAAAACCTATATATTCGTATGTAAAGCTTTCATCAGCCATTGTGGCCCCGCCCTACAGTCGGGGGCCATGATTTAAAAAAAAAATCTTCACTGGCTGATGATGCTTCTAAGGGACGTTAAGAAAGTTCGTTCCAGCATGAAATATTTTCAAAAAGTTTAAAGTTGTGTTTATCTAAGGAGATAAATTTTCAAGTCTGCCATAATCACAATAGTGTGCTTTAGATTAATAGCAATTCATTTTTAAAATAAAATTATAGGATTAATTTTGTCTACCATATGAAAAAAAATATATAGCATTTTTAAAGCACACGAATGATAAAAATGTTATTCATTTTGAGTAAAAATAAGGGATAATTCACTTGTATTTCTTCATAGCTTATCTTGCATCAGATAAGATGATTAGCGTAAGTATATTAGAACGATAGATCACTTTTAAAAAGATTAGGTTTGTCACGTTGAAATTTTCACAGGTTTGATTTTTTTGCATATTATTTGAAATGATATTTTGACTTCTTTGCTTAATATGTGTCACGAATATGCGTCATCACTTATTTTTTTTTCTGACCAGACATCATTTGTTTTAATAATTTCATTCCCCTTATTTAATAAACAAAAG